CTTTTAATAATTAATCAGGTCAAGTTTCTATGATAAAATGATCCGATTTTTTTCCGGAATAAAACTCATATAATTAAATATTCACTTTATATTAAATGGTATAGATTTACATAAATTCATTTTATTAATGATAAAAATATCTTTAGACCGCTGAGATGGTCAAGGCAACCAACGACGTTAAAGTGTAACGTCAACCAATCCACGAAATTGCGCCACCTCCCACCATTGTATTGTGTGAGATACTATCTCACAACAGATATGATTGAACTCCATTGGTCATGACTTCTTGAGTTCTAGTGGGAAGCGATGATCAGTGTAGTTCAACCGTGTCTGTTGTAGAGGCAGTTACTAACTGAACACAATGGTGAACGGTGGTAAAATTTTGTGGATTATTTGGAGTTAGATATTAACATCGTTGGTTGCCTAGACCAGCTCAGTGGTCTAGAGGTTAAGCGTTGAATGGCGAAACCGACACGCCTTGGATTCGAATCTGGTGAGCCGGGTCGTAGGTGTGTACTGCTGAAAAGTCCCATACTAGGACGAAACGGCCATCGAATGCCTCCAGGTTTTCCAAGGTGGTCTAGCTTTATTTGACTTATGAATTCATCCTCTTCTGTGTCATTCTATTTTTTTGTAACCCGATATCTGACTCCAAGTAGATCGTGTAAATGATTGTTATTGAAATATACACATACCGCCAATCCGGTTATATAATCATCGACTCGAATAACGGAACTGAATAAGTCGAATATGAGAATGGTTTGTTGGATATGAATATTTCATGCACTCATTGATCTGAACAGACAATCAGAGAGGTGAATCGAAGAGAAGAGAGTGGAACGAAATGACTTGCATCGGATGCAGCGAGTGATCCAACTCAATCTAACCACTAATCGGTAATCAATATTCCTAGTAGAACAAAACTAAGTTACAGATATGTGATGAATGGGATAAGAACTGCACACACCTACTGTTGCATAAAAGAAGTCATGGTTGATAAACGATTAACTGACACTGTCAGTTGTGACATAATATTCAACAGTTGCTAGGCTGGTATCATTCATTTCAGCGTTTTGTCAGTACCACCAAAAGTTTTCAACAGAGTGTTGATGAAGCGGATGAAAGACGCAGTAGACGGCGAATTTAGGGATCAACAGGCTGGATTCCGTAAGGATCGGTCGTGCACAGACCGAATCAAGACACTACGGATCATTGTGGAACAATCAGTTGAGTGGAATTCGTCATCAGACATCAACTTCATTTACTATGAAAAGGCGTTTGACAGTGTGGACCGGAGAACATTACGGAAACTTCTTCAACACCATGGAATTCCTGGCAAGCTTTTCAACATTATCCGGAACTCATGCGATGGACTATAGTGCCAATTGGTGCATGGAGGATAGCTGACAGATGCATTTCCAGTAAGGACCGGAGTCAAACATGTCTGTCTATTCTCTCCCTTCCCCTTTTCTTCTGATGATTGACTGGATTATGAAAATCCCGACATCTGACAGGAAGCATGGACTACAATGTACCTCTCAGAATCAATTAGACGATTTAGACTTCGCAGATGACCTAGCCATTCTATCTCATACACACGAACAAATACAAACGAAGATAAAAAATGTAGCAGTATTCTCTGCATCAATGGGCCTCAACATTAACAAAGGGAAAAGCAAGATTCTCAAATGCAACACGGAGAACACCAACCCAATCATACTTGATGGCGATACTCTGGAAGAGGTGGAAACATTCACGTACCTGGGAAGCATCATTGATGAACAAAAAGGATCTGATACAGATGTAAAGGTAAAGATTGGCAAAGCAAGGGCAGCATTTCAACAATTGAAGAACATATGGAACTCAAAACAACTGTCTACTCACTTCAAAGTGAAAATCTTCTATACGAACGTCAACATAGTCAGTTCTACTGTATTAAGCTGAAACGTGGAGAACTAATACATCCATCCTCGAGAAGGGATAAGTATTTATAAATAGTTGTCTACGCAAAATACTCAACATTCACTGGCCGGATACTATCAGCAACAGCGTTTCATGAGAGAGGGTGAACTAGCTTCCAGATGAAGAGGAAATTAGGCAACAACGTAGGAAGTGGATAGGATATACATTACGGAAATCACCAAACTGCATCACGAGGCATGCTCTAACTTGGAATCTGTAATGGAAGCGGAAAAGAAGAAGGTCGAATAACATAGAAGCAGATATGAAACGGATGAATGTTATCTTGGAAGAACTGTAAAGGATTTTGGAGGACAGAGTTGGATGGAGAATGCTTGTTAGCGGCCTATTCTCCTTCACGAGAGGTAACAAATGTAGGTAGTAGTATCATTCATTTCAACGAAGCAACGAAATATCCTAAGAGATGGCTTCATTTGAATACATTCACAATAGCATAGTTGAATAACTGACTTTTGATTAGGAATAAATTCACACACTATAAGATTGTAATATATGTAGCTGAGGGGTTGGGGTAGGGTATGGATTGATTCATAATGTAAATATCTGTAGTATGTTTCCATTTTTTCTAATGGGATCAAACATCAATATCGATTAATTTCTTCTCAATTATTCCATACATCAAACTAACTATTATATAATCCATTATATGATCCATTTCACCATTCTTCCCCCCCCCCATCTTTCTAAATTACTTTATTTCAAAAAATTGAATTATACTACTTATATTGAGTAAGTTGAAGGAAACAAAAAGAGAAACAATGAAAACAAGTTTTATTCATTCACTTCATCTCTTTCCCTGTTCTATTATTCCTTGATTTTTGACACTTCAGTAAAGTGGTTATACTTTATGAAGGTATTCGATGTATATAGATATATATATACATATATCTCTTTATGAAGTAAAATGAAATCGATGTTTTTGGTTACTATTATTACGTAATTTAGGTGGTGGTACTTTTTTTTGTTGTTGTTGTCGATTCTCGGCTCTCTGAGCTAAGATCATGTGTGTGTGTGTGTGCTGTTGTTGTTGCTATGTTGTTTGTTCCTTTTCGTTTTATGTTTACTCAACAACAACAACAACAACAACAACAACAACAACAAGAAACCCCCATAAAAACATAAATAGTTGAGAAAATGGATCGATTGAAATTAGATATTAATACTGTTAGATACTGGTTCAATGGTTTAAAGGTTGAGAATTTGTTCATGAAACTAAAAGCTCGGAGTTCGAGTCCCACGAATAGAATCATGGGTATATACTACTGTGGAGTCTCATATTAGGATGAAATGGTCGTTGAGTGCTTGTAGGTTATCCATTATGGTTTAGCTTTAATTGATTCATGAATTAAAATAATGAAAATACAATACCCTATTTAATGACCGATTATTCAGTGACCATTTAATGTAAAGAGGTTAGACACTACTTGAATGAGCGTGAAAGAAATTTCTATAAGTAGCAGTTTCAGGGTGTCACTATGACTTTATCAAGATTGTAAACGTAATTGACTGATTACTGATAGCTTTCATGAATTCCTTTCACATAACACAGATTGTTTAAACTCATGTTATTAATATATATGATTATTTGAACACATAAATATAGGTAAAAAGGAGCACCAGATATATATGCACCACACATAAAATTGTGTGAAAACTATGATACTGCCCCGTTGTCCAGACGGAAACAGTTGGTTTTCTTAAGGGGCCACAACCGGAGCCTTTGAACTAATGGTCTGATCTACAAGGCAGTGGAGCATCGTGAGGAGATGCAGTCCCATGGTAGCCGATTATCAACGATTGATTCATACGCCATTCGTTCCCTCAGAATCCTGGAGCCCATGTGAACCATTGGTTTGGAATCAGAGTTTTCCAGCTCCCGTAGGTGAACTTTCCGTGTCCACCAACCCGGTTACAGCTCCTGCCGGACATTCGCTTTTCGTCCTCTCAACTTCGTAGACAACACCCGTAGTGCGAGAAGGCAGTGAATAGGACTTCCGTGGTAGAGGCTGTATACACGTGGCCGTTTGAGAACATTTTGAGAGGAAGAGTGACCCCTCTCCGCTCTCGGCCGTATCAGGGTATTTTGGAGCAAAACATAACATAATTCAAACCAACCAGTTATTTTTAATTAGTTAAACATTCGCTTTCTGGATACTATCAGCAACAGCCTTTTATGAGAGAGGACAAAACAGCTTCCATCTGAAGATGAAATTAGGAGAAAATACTGGAAATCATCTAACTTTAGCACAAGGCAAGCGGTAACTCGGAATCCTGAAAGGAAATAGAATAGAGGAAAGCCCAAACAACACACATGCGATGAAAATTAAAATCAAACATCAAAATGATAGATTACTTACTTACGTCTGTTGCCTCCAATGGAGCATAGGCCGCCAACCAGCATTACTTTACCCACTTGTCCTTGGCCTTCCTTTCTAGTTCTATCCAACTTTTGTTCATTCTTCTCATGTCTGTCTCTATTTCTCGGCGTAATGGGTTCTTTGGTCTTCCTCTTCTCCTTTGACCTTCAGGATTCCAAGTGAGGGTGGATGATTTTCTCAATGTGTATCCTATCCACTTCCAGCGCTTAATCCTGATTTCTTCCTCCGCTTAAATCTGGTTTTTCTTATCCCACAGTAACTTGTTGCCGATAGTGTCTTTCCTTCAACTTCCAGGGCAGAGATTAGATGGTCTGAATTATTTATTCTGGTTGGCTTGTTTTAGCGAGTTATTTTTCTACGGGATAGGGTCGCTAACCCCATGCCCAACCTTTCACCTTTATCCGGTCTTGGAACCGTCAGTAATCTTCGTAGGGGCTATAGGTGGAGTTAAAATGATAGATAGTAACTGGAAACAACTGTAAAGGACTATTCAGAATAGAATTTCACTGGAGACTCCTGTTCGATGACCTATGCTCCTCCATCAATGTTAACTGTTGTAAGTAAGTATTCAAGTAAGTTATCATTAACAAATGTTTCGTTTTGTGTAATTCCATCATCTAACTTCCCCCTATTTTCTTTTAGGTCAGTTTCAATTTACAATTTGTATTGAAAACTTTAATGACATTATGTCCAGCTAAAGCATTACTTGTTTTTATTACAACAATATGGATAATATTCAGTTGGACATTAAGAGCATGTGAATTGTAAGTTATAATCTTATATACATTCCATGGTAATGGAATGAATTGATGATAACATGTTTGAATGTTTTGAAAGAAGGCACTCTTTGATGACAAGCTTGATAAACAAAGATGGATAATGGCTAGTAGTGGATAACGTGATATCTTTTTGAAGTGAAAGGTACAGAGTTCGAGTACTAGAGTGAACATTAACAAGTCTGAGATGTAGATACATCCAGCTGAAGAGTCCTAAATAGGACGAAATGCGCATCACAGTGGATTCCACTTCTAGCCGCTATCCATCTTCACTTACAGTTGCAATATATTGTTTGTCAATATAATCTTATAGAAGTAGTGATCATATATCTGGGAACCATTAGGTGATCATTTTAAAGGTTAGTAATAGGGTATTAATTAAAGATCGTTTATCGATTGACTGCAGAGTAAATCTTCATTGACAAAGACTAAAGAGATATGTGTTACGTAGTTAAGACCATCGCCTACCTCAATTTATGATGTTTGCTGGTGTGAGAGTAGGTCAGAAGGAAACTAAGAGTGGCATAACTAAGGTCTAATATTAGTTCATGTAATCAGTCACTGATATAAGGAGCTGCATAGGTATATGGAGATTATCTAGTTGACATCTGTGTGACGATTTTAATCAACTGTTTTAGATGTTGGATAAAACAACGCGGAATCATTCACAAAAATGAATTCATCCATATTGAATCTTACTGCCTCTAATCTTTCTTAGTTCCACCGATATTGTTACTATTACCAAACACAACATTCAATGCTAGTGAATACAAGTGGCTAAAAATTGCCCTTCATTGACTGAAAATGTGAAGTACGCTATAGGTGGCACAAATTCTTGATGGACGTATATATATGTAATCCCAATCGCGGGACTCGAACCTATGATCTTCGATCTCTCCTAACCCCTAGACCACTGAATTGGCCGACATCCAATGATGTTAATATTTAACTTCAACCAATCCACAATATTGTGCCACTGTTTACCATTGTGTTCAGTGAGTTACTATCTCATAACAGACCTGTTTAAACTCCACTGATCATGGTTTTTCACTAGAACTTTATGAAATACCTGTTAAAGCCGGTTACTAGTAAGCACATGATTATTATTATTATTAGATGAGGGTTTTGTGGAGATTGTAGAAATTTAATGGTTGAATTCATCGGTCGAAGCAGCCGTCTAATGCTTCCAGATTTTCCATGGTGTTATGACTTTAATTGGCTCATGAGTTCAACTTAGATAAGAGAAAAACGTTTTCAATGAAATTCAAAGCATCTGCATAATGTATCATAGGTCAGACGTAGATAATCAAATCACTATTCGCTGTCTACATCATCATTTCAAAAAAACTCACCTCGGCAGTCGGAAGTAAAATTACCTGAAATCGTATTATGGAAAACATATCATTTTACATGAAAATCTTTCATCGAAACCACTCACGAATCTGAGTTTAGCAATCATGGAAAACCTAAAACCATTGAACTACCATCTTGTCTTAGTGTGAGACTCGTCGACAATGGGCATCCATGACCTGGCAACTGGTAATCGAACCCAGGATCTTCACAAACATATACTGTAAATTCATTTACCATTATTACAGGTTGTATATCACAAACCAAAATCAATTTTCATCTTTACATTTATTTCCTATTGTTTGTTTGGATCTTCCCATTGATGTTTGAGACTTCAATTGACCAGTTTGTTATTGGGATATGTGCAAAGTTTCTGTATTGCCTTGATATTACCTCTAGTCACAAGCATTATAAGCAAAAATGAGTGGTAGGCAGTAGTGGAATCTAGCTCTTCGGCTGAATGTGATTTCATTCCAGACCTGTTGATGTTCACTCCGGGACTCGAACCTAAAAAGTGAATAACACAATGCCGTTTGAAGCGAACTTTTGCTTGGTTTAAGTCCCAAAGTAAACATCAACCCCTGAATACAAGTACATCCAACTGACGAATCCCAAATAGGACGAAACTCTTATCCTGGATTCCACTACTACTCACCATCTATTTTTGTTACAACTTATATTCAAGAAGCTGAAATTCCTATCTTATCTTATATACACTTATACATAAATCAGTATTACACATTACAATAAGTTAACTATGTAAACAATAACAATTATCTACATTGATAATATTGACATTGTTTACATTGATAATTCCATATTCAAATAAGAAATGTTACGAACTTCTTTTCTTTTCACATTTTGTATTCAAGTTATTGTTAATAGCTGAGATCATGGGTCGATTGAAGCTAGACTACCACGGAAAATCTGGAAAAACTGGACGGGCGTTTCGTCCTATTATGGGACTCCTCAGTGGCAGTACGTATCCACGATCCTGCCCCACGAGATTCGAACTCACGACCTATTGGTCTTGCCTGCGAACGCTTCATTTCTAGACCATTTAGCTGGCCGGCATCCAACGGTGTTAATGTCTAACTCTAACTAATCCACGAAATTGAGCGACACATCCACCACTATGTTCAGTGAGTTACTATCTCACAATAGACCTGGTTGAACTCCACTGATCACTGTATCTCACTAGAACTCCAGGAAACTACCTCTTAAAGTCAATCACTAGTGAGCGTATGTTGACTCATAATCTGAACTAATAAAAACTCCTTCTGATACTAACCCTTACTAAAAAATAACGATCTCTATTTTATTTATGTAATTATTCAAGGGAACAAGGTGATAATCATTTATCATTATTAAACTCAGCTTGGCTTATATCTGTTACATTCTTGAGTATTGGTTATGGTGATATTGTACCACATACGAGTTGCGGTAGATTAATTGCTGTAGCAACTGGACTTATGGTAAGATTATATTTTATTGAAGTTATTATTTTTTAAAGTTGAAATCATGAGTCGATTGAAGCTACACCACCATGGAAAGCACTGAAAGCATTGAATGGCCGTTTCGTCCTAATATGGGATTCCTCAGCAGTGCGCACCCACGATCCGCACTCGCGAGATTCGAACCCAAAACCTACCAGTCTCGAGCCAGAGACCTTAACCGATAGACAACTGAATAAGTTACTTCTTTCTAAGAATGAGTATGACTATAATTCATGGATGACATTAAAAGGACCCGATGAATGTTTACCAACATACTAGAGTTAATTGAAAGTTATAAATCATTATGAAGAATTGATGATTAGTTTTAGAAATTAAAATTAAGGTTTTCATCATGAACTCCTTCGTGAAGGAGCATAGGCCAACCACCAGCACTTTCTATTCAGCTCTGTCATAGGCAATCCTTTCCACTTCTTTCCAGTTGTTATTCATCCTTTTCATATCTGCTCCTATTTCTCGAAATAGTGTGTTTTTCGGCCTTCCTCTTCTTAGTTTAGTTTCAGGATTCCAAGTTAGGGCTTGTCTCTTGGCACAGTTAGATGATTTTCAAAATGTGCATCTGATACTCGTCCATCGTCTTTTCTTAATTTCTTCATCTGGAAGCTGGTTTGTTCTCTACTACAGAAGGCAAACTGGTATAAGTTACATATTAATCTATTATATACAAAACCTTGATTCGCTCAGATGACGGGTGTACAAACCACGTGTTGCAACTGAAAAGTTGAAACTGACGTATTAGAGACATATCTATTTTTAAAAACAGATCAGAAACGAATAGATGAAATAAGTCTAGCAACGTAATTGAGGGCGCACATTTCGTCTCATTTGAGACTCTTCAGTTGGATATATCTGATATTTACTCCAGGATTCGTTCTTTCTGGATTTCATTTCTAGCCACGATCTGTCTAATTTGAAACAACTTGGATCATATGCCACCCACTAGTATTCTCCATTCAACCCTGTCCTCAACAATCCATTCTAGTTCTTTCCAGTTAACATTCATCCTTTTCATATGTTTCTATTTTCTGGCGTAATGTGTTCTTTGGCCTTCCTCTTTTCTGTTTCCTTTTCGGATTGCAAGTTAGAGCTTGCCTCGTGATACAGTTTGGTGATTTCCTTAATGTATGTCCTATTCACTTCCAACGTCGTTTCCTAATTTCCTCTTCCACTGGAAGCTGCTTTGTTATTATGAGTCCATTGAAGTCAGACCACCATGGAAAGCACTAGAAGCACTGGACGGCAGTTTCGTCTTATTGTGGTTAATTTAGTCTAATTTTGTTTTTACTGTCCTTATAATCATAAACGTAATGCATTCATCAAGTAAAGATTTATCGAGTCGACTCTGAACTATATTTTATCTATACTGCCTGATGATACTATCTCCTTACCCTAACTGAAGTAGGTGAAGGAAATTTCAAATGGATGACTTATGGAATAGAAGTTGAATTCCTCAAACATCGAACCATCATTCTGTCTTCATGGTACTATTCATACTATTGTACATTGTTAGTATCATCAGTATTTAAGCATATTGTAGTGAACGGCTGGGGACAATCGATAACCATATTGCAAATAGTTAATTTGCTAACTATCAATCCATTGTCTCAATCTTGATTGCTCCTTTTGCAAATATCAGTCCATCTTCTCTGATTTCATTGTTCATACATATCCATGCTAAATGCGTTCCGTTCCGGTTCTTTCCTTATCGATCTTTTGCCAAAATACATTCTATACCCGACCATCATCATATACTACTTATATGGATATAAGTAACTTTACTTGAATTATTTTTTCTGGTTAACGTTTTTTTAGCGAGTTAGCTTTTCTACGGGATGGGGTCTCTAACCCCATGCCCAACCCTCCTCCTTTACCCGGGCTTGGGACCGGCAGTAACTCTAGAAGAGCTACAGACGGAGTTATATAAGTAACCTACACCACAATAATAATTATTGGAAATGATTTCATCCTATCTAACCAATTCATAATCTTACGTAATCTTTCCCTTTTTTTGTTGTTGTTGTTGTCACATTTTAGGGTTCCGCTTGTACTGCATTATTAGTTGCTGTATTTTCAAAAAAATTAGAAATGACCAAAGCTGAAAAACATGTACTACATTTTATGGAATCTAGTAAACTAACCAAAAAAGTATAATAATCTATATATTGTATTATTATTATTGCTCTTATATAACTGTATTATACGTCGTATATAGTTGAATAGAAGACAATTGTGATAGAGGGGAGACCCTTTGATACTAAATGGACATTGAAGTTGTTCATTTTAATTATAAACATATTGGGTAGGATATTGGGTAGAAATCGAATACGGGACATGCGTTTCGTCCTGGACCTGCACCTGAGTGGATAACACGATGGTGTTTAAAGCAAAAGGTACTGGGTTCGAGTTCAAGAGTGAACATCAACAAGTCTGCAATGCAGGTACATCTAGTTAACAAGTCCTGAATTACACTTCTAATCGCTATCTATCTTTGATTGGAATGCTTGTGAATTAAGGCTATATCTAGGCAATACGCACAGTATGCACATGTGCCAATAAGAGACTGATCAATCGCAGTCCTAAATAAGAACAAGAAGATTCAGACAAACAATACCATGTGTTTATTTTAATCACTACAAACGTTGTTAATTGCGTAGTATTTAAAGAAATTCTTTACATTTCCTTATGGATTCGGATAAGTCTTCAGTATCCTAAGCTGTTCTAATAAATTACAGGTTAAATCTACACAGCAACTTGAAAATGAGAGAAAAGATGAAAAATATAGAAAGAACACCTTACTACAAAGGTTTGTTTATGTACAGAAAATCTAGGGTTTTTGTAGTATTTTAGATGGCCTTGAGCTTCCGGGACTCTACTATACATAGTAGCAGTATAGGTGATCATCTAATCAGGAATGTGACATGGGACATTCCACTTTCTGAATGTTTCTGGCAAAACTTCTATTGAATATGATGTTTCTCAGTGTTTTCAGAGCCTTTTATGGCTTTTTATTTCAAGGAATATTCTGGATCTTCACAATAGATTCTAGTTGAAAAGCTATTGAAAGAAACTAATGAAGAAGCTCTTTATTATAGTTCGGAAATATATTTTTATTATTTTATTTAAACACATAAATATTGATACAAGGAAGCACCAGATACATATGCGCCATACAAATCTCATTCGATTTGCTTGAAGGCTGTAATACTGCCCAGGTGCCCGAACTGAAGCAGGTGGTTTTCTTAGGGGACCATACTCGGAGCCTTTGACCGAAAGATCTCATCCACAAGGCAGTGGAGCATCGTGAGGAGATAAAGTCCCATGATAGCCGGTGATCAACGATTGATTCGTACGCTATTTGTTCCATCAGGATACTGGAGTCCATGTGCATCATTGGTTTAGAATCACGGTTTTCCAACTCCCCTAGTTCGGCTTTCTATGTCCACCAACCCGGTTAAAGCGCTGGACATTCGCTTTTCGTCCTCTCACTTTCGTAAACAACACCCTCGACACGAGAAAGCAGTGAGTAGGACTTCCCTGACAGAGGCTATATATTCGCTGGCCATGTGAGAGCATTTCGAGAGGGAGAGTGGTCTCTCCCCACTCTCGGCCGTACCAGGGCATTTGGGGGCTCGGAATTATAAGTAATCACAAATGACTAGATTTGAGGACTACTTTGTTTATACGTGAAACAAATGAACTTGTTCAATCCTTATCAGGGTGACTTGATTTACTGCTAGATCTTACTTCAAGTTCGATTATTCATTTTGATAAAGAGGATGCTTTCTGGGAAATCAGTTTGTGTTCTATAAACTCAGAATAAATCATGAACCAATTGAAGTTAACATTAACATCTATGGATGACGGCTCAGTGGTCTACAGGTTGAACTTTCATGATCGTGACCGAAGGTCTTGAGTTCGAGTCCCGAATGTAAGATCATACATATGCACTGCTAAGGAAATCTGTACAAAGATGAAACAGCCGTCCAATACTTTCAAGTTTCCAATGTTGATCTAGATTAGTTTGAATCGTGAATTCAACTATTAAAATAATACAATCTCCACAAATCCCCATACTGAAAAGAAAGGAACAGTTAACTGAAGGATGGTTAGAAATAGAATATGAAGGGGGGGGAAGTTTAATAACATCAGAATTTGATATACACAATGTTCAAATTAAGCGTTTATACAGATTCAATCAAAGGAAAATTTGCTGCTAAGCTAGTTTTACGATTGATTAAGTGAAAATATGTTAATACAGCAACAACAAAGAAACGATGAATAAGTTCACAAGGTCATAATATAAAGATAAATGATAAATGGATTCAAGATTCAATTGGATTCTATTTAAGAACAAACTAATTAACTAGAATTGTAAGCAAAGATGAATGATAGCTAGCAGTGGAATCCAGGATGTGTGTTTTATCTTATTTGAGACTCGTCAGCTGGATATACCTTCATTGCAGACTTGTTGATGTTTACTCTTGGACTCGAATCTAGTAGCTTTCGCTTCAAACGCCATCGCGTTATTCACTCAGATACTGAGTACTGATAGCCACTTGCTTATGCAATGGGGTGAAGTTTATATTCAACACTTAGTATTGTTAGTTTGAATCTTCCCATTGATGGTTAGGACTACGAAGTTTATCAAACATATGCGATATATTTGTGTAATACATTTCGAACAATCTAATCCCACATATACTTTCCAATGGTCAAAGAAGATCACAGGATAGATAGACATCTTTCTGCATTGTGAAACCTTCGGTTAAGACTGGTTATAAGGTTGACATCGAGTCAACATTTCTAGTGTTATACAAAAGCCTTCAAGAGCATACATTAAGGTTTATTGAAACCTTAGGCTATACGGAAACTGGAACCCCCTCTTTATTTGTTCAAAAACAAGTTGTTCTTACCCTTCACCTATCCTGGGAATGTTGATTTATTATCCATAATGGTTAACACATTGTTTCTGTGTACTTTATGTAGTTCCTTTCTTTGGCAAATTTAAAATGGATGAAATAATGATTAGTCGGATGATGATGATGTAATAGTATTAATGATTGTTATCACTTTTGGGCTATTCATATTACAATGTAATGATATCGATAATTAGAGAACAATGATTTATCAACCGTACCAATAACTCATAAACCAGTATGAACAGTTTAGAGTCTTTATCAATCCTTTGTCCTGAGTAGCCCTGCCTGTCTGCTGAGTCCAGAACACCAATCTTGGCCTGTACAATATGAATCATGTATTTCAATCATACTTATAGTATAGATGTGTGAATGATATATTCTTTAACTGTAGGATTGTTGTCCTTGAATTGCTAAACCTCTCCTTTTTCGTCTACATCATATCATCGACGTTCATCGATGATTGAGTTCATATACATGAATGTTTCCAACTCATTCAATTTGAGCTTAGGTATCTAATCAAAATTGTTATTTCAATCTACTTATAAGAACACATCGGAGATCATTAATCGTTTTTTTTTATTCTATGCTTATTATAAATTTAGGTTAAACATTGTGCAGCTAATGTACTCCGTGAAACTTGGTTATTATATAAACATGCCAAATTAATGCCAACATTTAATTCACATCGTGTTAGAGCACATCAACGTAAATTCTTACAAGCTATATACAGGTAAGTTTGTACTACTTTTTGTTTTCTAAATCATTCAAAATGTAACCAGGGGAGTTCAACTTGATTTGTTGTAAGATAGTAACTCACTGAAGACAATAATAGACAGTGGAGCAATAATGGGGTTTGGTTGGCTACCAGTCTAGGTGACTCAACATTGAGTGAACTATGTTGAGATATGTTAGTGGTTGAAGGTAGTCAACAGAAAACCTTGGACCTAGGTTTCATGCTATTTGGCACTCGTCATCAAGGTATACCTGTGATCTTGAGGGAACTGATGCTCCCTGACAGATTAGATCCCTTGTCACTCAACTTTACATTCAGAAACGTCACCACTGGGTTATCCTGGTACTAAGAAGGACCTGACACACATGACACTGATCACTATCCAGTGATCAGTCAACTCTAAATACATCTCAGTCCTACAGGAAGTCAGCCGCGGACCTATAGGTCTTGGTTTCGAGTCCCATATGCGGAATCGTAGATGAGCACTGATGATAAGTCCCATATTAGAAATAAACGGCATTCCAATAGTCACAGAAAGGATCTGACACACATGATACTGATCATCACTCAGTGATCAATCAATTGTACACACATTTAAGTTCTACTGGAGGTCAGTCGCGGCTGGCTAGTGCCAAATAGCGCGAAACCTAGGTCAATGGTCTCTTGTCAGCTACCTTCAGCCACTATCATATATAAACGTCGTTTTAGAGTTGCTCAAAAGTTGTCCGTAAAGTATAGTCTCATTAGTCTCATCATATGCTACAACACTTCAATCTTAAGTCAAATTTTAAAAAAATATTCTGAATGAGCTCTTTGGAAGAGTTAAAAACTACGATAAATCAACTACCTAGCGATTCAATGATAAGTAATCTGATAATCATACATACAAGACTACAAATCATCTCAACCATTTGTATTCCTGTTTGACAGTGAATACATTCCATCGAGAAAGCCCCATAGTAACAATATTTATATTGTTACTATGATAATCAATAATAGATACCTTCTTGTAGAATATAAATGGTTGAGATGATTTGTAGTCTTGTATGTATGGTTATCAGATTAATTATCATGAATCTCTAGGAAGTTGATTTATCGTAGTTTTTAACTCTTCCAAAGAGCTCATTCACAATACTTTTTTTACAAATTTGACTTCATATTGAAGTATTGAAGCATATGATGAGACTATGAGACTATGGACGACCTTTTGAGTAACGCTAAAACTGCCTTTGTATATGATGGTGGTTGAAAGTAGCTGACAAGAGACCCTGGACATGGGTTTCGTGCTATTTAGCACTCGTCAGTCGCGACTGACCTCCTGTAGGACTGAAATGTATTTCCCATTGATTGATTACTGAGTGGTGATCAGTATCATGTGCGTCACTGGAATGCTGTTTAGTCCCAATATGGGACTCCTCATCAGTGCTCATCCACGATCTCGCACATGGGACTCGAACTTAAGATTTACCGGACGTACAAGCGATAGCTCACCCTCTAGACCGCTGAGCTGGCCGGCATCCAATGGCGTTAATATCTAACTTCCATCGATCTATGGAAGACTGCGCAACCATTCATCCATTGTCTGAGGTAGATAATAGTCCCGGTTTCCAATGGTGTTCTTACATCAATCGATTCATGATCTCAATAAAAAGGTCACATATAAAAGCTGGTTAATCACAATCAAGATTACTAGTATATAACTTTCAAGATCGAATATATGTGTTCATAATGCCTTAAATGATCTATGAATAATAATCATACGTTTACCTTCGACTTCAACTATAAACTGCAATGTACTTAATTACCTCTGTAAATATTTATTGCCTTATATATTGACTAATCATGTCAACTATCACAATTACTATGATATCCACAAAAACCCCCTTGTGATATTAATCAACATATGCTGACTAGTGACTGCCTTCAAGAGGTATTTCCTGGAGTTCTAGTAAGAAGCAGCGACCAGTGGGTTTCAACCAGCTCTGTTGTGAGATAGTAACTCACTGAGAACATGGTGGATGTGTCGCTCAATTTCGTGGATTAATTTAAGTTGGACATTATATCCGTTGGATGCCGGCTCAGCGATCTAGAGGTTGAGTTTGCACGCGAGACCGATGATTCCTGGGTTCGAATCTAGCGAGGTGGGATCGTGGATGCACACTGCTGAGGAATCGTATACAGGGATGAAACGGCTATCCAGTGTTCCTGGGTTTTCTATGGTGGTCTAGCTTTAATTGGTTCATGATTTCAACTATTAAAACTAATCTATTTGTATAGGTTGTTTGATTCGTTCCACGACGGCGCTTGAAGCAAACGATACTGTGTTCAAGTCTTAGAGTGACACATTAACTTAGATCAGGTACATCTAGCTGACGAATCTTGAATAGAGCTGAACTATTATTTGTTTGAGACAAATATGAATGATGGCACCAAACGGTGACTTTGCAATATCATGAATTGATTGACAGTAGACATTAAAGTGTGTGCTATGAAATCTAAGTATATTGTGTTTGATTACTGATTGGTTGTGAATCTCGGCTTTCATCATGAAGCGTCATAATTCTTCCTTCAAATCCCAAGGCAGAGTTTAGATGGTTTGAATTATTTTTCCTTGTTAGCGTTTTTTAGCGAGTTAGTTTTCTACGGGACGGGGTCGCTAACCCAATACCCAACCCTCCTTATTTATCCCGTCTTGGAACCGGCAGTAGCCCTCGAAGGAGCTACAGGAGGATTTAATACATATAACTGTGAATGCATATTACCATAAATGAAGAGTTTCATAATGTGAAGAAACAACTGCCTAGTGGTTATCAGTCTTCATAGATTGTTTAACTAAGACCATTCATGGTTACTAACCACTTTTTTGATGGAGTTTTGTTCTCGGAGCTGAATGGTTTGTTCGTGGAGCGACATCATCAGCACAAACTTCGTTCAGAAGAACAATGAAAGCTCCACGACCAAATCATCCAGCTCAGAGAACAAAACCCTTATCAAAATCATCTACCAGAGCTACAAATCGTCACCACCATCTTACTAAACATTGTCTATCTACATTTGTTTAAGTTGAGTGTTTATCAACTTAAATTTGTTTTAAATGAATAATCTCATTTTAGATTAAGAACAATGAAAGTGAAACAACGTGAACTACAAGATAAATCAAATTCTTTAGTGGATTTAGCAAAGGTAAGAAAGTTAATTATACTACTGAAAAATGTTTTATTCAAATTAAGTAGTAAAATTTTCTGTGTAAAATTTGACATTCCGCTACGCAACCTACTTCGAGGTTCTTTTAAGAAGAAAACTGATTTTTTTAAACAGATTTATCTTAAGCAAAGATAGATAGTGGCTAGCAAGATTGTGTAAGTAAGTTGTTATCAGGACTCAGTAGCTAGGTGAATAATGCGATGACGTTTGACGCGAACGGTACTGGGTTCGAGTCCCAGAATGAACATCGACTCTGTGGTGTGGGTACATACAGCTGACGAGTACCAAATAGGATGAAACGTGTGTTCTGGATGCAACTGCAAGGTACTATTCATCTATCCTTATAATACTTGCGACTGTAGGCCTTATACGCACAGTACGCACATTTATCAATAAGAGACTGATTGATTGAGGTCCTAAACATCAATGGGAAGATTCAACCAAACAACACCAAGTGAATTTAGATTTATTTCGAGAATAAAAAGTTCCACCTAATACAAAACCTGATTAATTCATATCTACTGGAAAAACATACACAAACATTGTGTATAATCGACTAAAAAAAAGGTCAGTTAATATCCGACTCACTATAAGTGTAGACTGTTTTACGAAGATAGTGCAAACTCATTCCTGGCCATTCTATCCTATACACATCAAGAAATGCAGATCAAGACAACTAGTGTAGTAGCAGTCACTGCATCAGTAGGCCACAACATATATAAGGGAAAAAGAAATATTCTGAAATACAACACACAGAACACCAACCTGATCTCATTTGATGAAGAAGAGGTGGAAACATTCACGTACACGTTCAGAATCATCGATGAACATGGAGTATCTGATGCAGACGTATAGGCGAAGATTGGCAAAGCAAGGGCATCATTCCTACAGTTGAAGAACTAATGCAACTCAAAATAACTGTCTACTGTACGGAGTTCAAACATGGAGAAATACTACAATCATCACCGAAAATGTACAGGTATTTATAAACAATTGCCTACTCAAGATACTCAATGTCTGTTGAATGGATACTAATCATCAACAACCTACTGTCGGAGAGAACATACTAACTTCGAGCTGAAGAGAAAATCGGGACAAGGCATCGTAAGTGGATAGGAAATACATCGAGGAGATCATCAAACTGCATCATGATGTATTCACTAACTTGGAATGCTAAAGATAAAAAGAAAGGAGGAAGACCAAATAACACAATGTGTCGAGAATTGGAGTGAGAAATCAAAAGGATGAATGGCAGCTGTAAAGGATGAATGAATAGATTGACCTGTGCACTAGCTACAATAGGTTATGTAGGTTCAACAAAGGACCAGCCCATACAGTAAGCCATTGAAAAGTTTCAGACTAATAGAAAACTTATGTTCAATACTCTCTCTCTCTCTCTGTCTATCCACCAACGTACATGGGCACGTGAAAATGAAGTACCGAATCAACTACTTCCCTTCTTTATTCTTCTTTCTTTGTTTCGTCTTTTTTCGCCTTCTTCTTCTACTTCATTATATTTTCATAGTAATTAAATCTATATAACATAAGTGTGTTTTCTTTTCTCTCTTTTTATTAATTACTCAGTTATATTATGTACTATGAATGTCAATATTATTATTTAATTGAAAAAAATTGCCTGACAATTACCTTTATTCAACTTTCTATAAAGAAAACATGGTGATTTACATGAAGGGATTGTTATTGACATACCACTTATAGTAAATGAAATACTCACATATATACAATTTAGTCAAATTATGATTATTATTATTGGTAGTAGTGGTAGTAGTCGTAGTCGTCGTAGTAGTATTAGTCGTTGTAGTAGTAGTAGTAGTAGTAGTAGTAGTAGTAGTAGTAGTGGTAGTAGTAGTAGTGGTAGTAGTAGTAGTGGTAGTAGTAGTAGTGGTAGTAGTAGTAGTAGTGGTAGTAGTAGTAGTAGTAGTAGTAGTGGTAGTAGTAGTAGTCGTAGTAGTAGTAGTGGTAGTAGTAGTAGTAGTGGTAGTAGTAGTAGTAGTAGTAGTGGTAGTAGTAGTAGTAGTAGTAGTGGTAGTAGTAGTAGTAGTGGTAGTAGTAGTAGTAGTAGTAGTATTAATGTTATTGATAGTGCGATGTGGGTTACGTATATCCATATAAATAGTATATGGTGATGGTCGGGTATTGGATGTATTTCAGTAACAGATCGATAAGGAAAGAACAGGAACGAAGGACAGTCGGTATGAAAACGCATGAACAATAATAATCGGAGACGATGGACTGATATTTGTAGAAGGAACAGTCAAGATTGAGACAATTGATTGTTATTTTGCAAACTAACTGTTTACTCTATGGTTATCAAATTTTAGTGAGATAGTCTATAATTCGTGCTGAGATACATTCGATTGTCCCAACCCGTGTTCTTGTTCACTACAGTAGTATTCTCATTATCATTAGTAGTAGTAGCAGTAGTAGTAGTAGTAGCAGTAGTAGTAGTAGTAGTAGTAGTAGTAGTAGTAGTAGTAGTAGTAGTAGTAGTAGTAGATGTAGTAGTAGGAGGAGGAGGAGTAGTGGTAGTAGTAGTAGTAGTGGTAGTAGTAGGAGTAGGAGTAGGAGTTGTAGTAGTAGGAGTAGGAGTAGGAGTTTTAGTAGTTGTTGTAGTAGTAGTAGTAGTAGCAGTATTAGTAGTGTGGTGTGGTCTACTTATATCTATATAAGTAGTATATGGTGTTGGTCAGACATAGAATGTATTTTCGCAGAAGACCGATGAGAAAAGAACTGAAATGAAGCGCAATCGTTTGGAAAATGCATGAGTAATGGAATAAGAGAAGAAACAGTGAAGATTGAAACAATTGGTTGTTAATTTGCAAATTGACTGTTCATTGTTTGGTAATCAGAATTTATTGAGATAGTCTGTAATCTTTGCTTAAATACATTCGATTGTCCCCAACCAGTGTTCTGTTCACTACAGTAGCAGTAGTTGTGGTAGTAGTGGTAGTAGTAGAAGTGGTAGTAGTAGTAGGAGGAGGAGTAGGAGTAGTATTAGTAGTAGTAATTGTTGTAGTAGTAGTAGTAGTAGTAGTCGTATGCTACACCCACCTTTCATCATACTACTTATATATGTAATTGATAGTAGTATTAGTAGTGGTAGTAGTAGGGGGAGGAGGAAGAAGAAGAAGATGATGAGGAAGAGGAGCAGTACTAGCAACATTTTCAACGTATTTTTGTTTGTTTTTTTCTTTTTTTTGAAATAATAAAACACTCAAATTTGTTTAAAATTTATTCACAAGTTACACGCAATTTTTGAAGTGATTTTACTTGTTTCTATTGAATTACTTGTTTTTGTATAGTAACAAAATTTTGATGTTTTAAGCAAATGAAAACACTTTTTTCAATGAAAAATAAAAAAGATTGTAATGGTTTAATTCAGTAGTTGATCTAAGCTATATAATCATTGGAAACCTGGAAGCATTGGACGGTTGTTTCGTCATTGTGTGGGATTCCTCAGTAGTACGTGGACACGATCATGTTCGCCAGATTCGAACCCGAGACCCGATCTCGAGCTTGAAAGATTATTCTATTGACCAGTGATTGTAATCATATATTCATTAGTGACTAGTTTCAAGATGGATTCCTTGGTGTTTTAATGAGAAACTGTGACTAGTTGAGTCCAATCATTGTAGGGTGGAGACAATTATCCACCTCAAACAATGGATACAGAGTTGAACGAAACATGGGTTGATTGGATTTACACATTAACACCATTGGATACTGTCTCAATAATCTAGAGGCTGATCTTTCACCTTCGAGATCGAAGGTTTCGATTTCGAATCACGTTTGCAGGATCATGGATAAGAACTACTGGGGAGGCGCATATTGGGACAAATTGAATCTTCCAGTGCTTCTAGGTTTCCAATGGTGATATTAGCTGAGATGTACTCAAGAATTCAACTGCAAAGATACTTCAATCTCCACGAATTTCCATTCTCCAACCCAATCTTTCCTGGGTCTTCCTTTGTAATTCTATCCAACTTTTTTCATTCTTCTCATATCTACCTCCATTTCGAGGCATCAAGTGTTCTTTGGTCTTTCTCTTTTCCTTTGGCCTTCAGAATTCTATGTGAGGGCTTGTCTTGTGACGCAGTTAGGTGATTTCCTCAGTGTGTGTCCCATCCACAGTCCAGAGCTTCTTCCTGATTTTTTCTCCTCTAGAATCTGGTTAGTTCTTTCCCACAGTAGGACTCATGAACCAGCCAACATCGAACATCAAAGTAGGCAGTACTTCAGCATGAGTAATATATGTAACATCCCTACTTCGTTACTTAATTATATCCAATGATTGGTAGTACGTTTTGTTAGTTAACGAGATAGAGATTATTCATTTTGTAGTTAACATCATGAAATGATATAATCTAGACTATCAATGAAAATCAAGTTGTACTGTATAGCTGTTTTGTCATAGTGTGAGATTCTTCATCGTGTACGTATCCAGTATCCTGATAGGAAAACTTAAAATCCTCAGTCTTCAACTATGAATCACTGAGTTGGGATGTAATGGTTCATATTTTTAATTTCTATGAGATTTGTTATACTTCATTTATCCTTGTTTCATCGTCGATATGATTAAACCACATGTTGGTTCTAAGTAGAACTTCGGGAGTCTTTCTGGATATCTTTCATTAGTTTAAACAACTAGTTCACGAATCAAGTGTATTCCACATATTGTATTCTGTAATAATGTTTGCACTCCACCCTATTTCTTGATTATTGATCCTAGTAAACTCATGTTATACTTTTGTGTTACTACCCTATTAACTTAATCTTCAGTCAGTCAAATGATGGTTGTAGAGTGTAGGATTTTCAGAAAACAATACATAATGAATTATAAGCAAAGATGGATAGTGGCTAGCACTGGAATCCAGGACGCGCGTTCCATCCTATTTGGGACTCATCAGCTGGATGTGCCTGCATCTCAGAGTTGATGGGACTCGAACCCAGTACCTTTCACTTGAAACGCCATCGCGTTATCCACTCAGCTAATGAGTCCTGATATGTACTTGTTTGTGCAATCGGGTAAAGTTTAAATTCACTTACTATTGTTTGTTTCAATCTTACCATTTATGTTTTTAAGACTGCAACTGGTCAGTCTCTTATTGTCATATGTGCATACTGTACGTATTGCCTCGATATAGCCTTAATTCACAAGCATGATAAGCAAAGATGGATGATCATATGCAGTCTTAAGCATCAATGGGGAGATTCAAACAAACATTACTAAGTGAACATAAAGAATTAATTTTAAATCAATTATTGATGATCAGGAAACACAAGATATGTGTTTAATTCTAGTAAGGGAAACTTCACTAACAGTAAGTATTTAAACTACGTAGGACATTGAATTCGGGACCTTCAGTGTCACGTATGAATCCTCGATCTCAAGACCATCAATTATGCCATAAACTTGATTGTTATTAAGGAAACTAATTCCATGATTTTACATGGCAACAGGGTGAAGCCTAGTAGGCCCTTCTAGAGAAGAATACTACGTCGAAACACGGCACAACTAACGGCGCTCAATAGCTGTTTTTTCATTGCTTACGCAGCATCATTGCATCTTTCTTTCTTGCTGTATTTTTTGGGCAGCCTTATTCTTTCTTTCTTTTTGAATCAATAACAATTATGCAATGATTTTTTGAGCCTTCGTAATCATTTATGAGTATAGGTAGAGTGGATGATTAGGCCGATCTCCACCACCCGGGTTACCGCTCATGTTAGTTCATGGAAACAGTCCCTCTATCCAGAAGGCATGACAAGGACGTGTGAGTCAGGTTTTGCCTCCCTAATTATACATAGACATCATCATTATCTCAAAGATGTCTACAGTATATCCTACTATTTACACCATTTCATGGATGTTAAAAAGTACATAGGAAGAAGGAATCAAACATTCCAATCAAGTATGATGTATCATGTACTTAGAATATGTTGAAGTCAACGGAGATTAGAATACTGAGATAGAAGTTAAGAACAGAAAATAATCATCCTTCACTGTCGTAAATCGCAAATGACTTCTTATGAAAACTTGGTCTGTACGGTCAATAATCACGTATAACAAACAGTTGATCAGGCTTTTCTAATATAATATATACTTAAAAAACTCTTATTTTCTAGTTTCATAAGTGATATAAATAGAGTGATTATGAGTCTATTGTAAGCCATACTTACTTGCTTAAAGTTGTTACCAGTCATGGAGGAGTATAAGCTGCCAACCAGCATCCTTCATCCAACCCTATCCTTTCTAGTTCTTTCAAGTTGTCATTCATCCTTTTGTTGTCTGATTCCAATTACCTGCTCAGGGTGTACTCTAGCCTTCCATCTTTCATTTCACCTTCTGCATTCCAAGTTAGCATTTGCCTTGTGATGCAGTTTGATGATTTCCTCAATGTGTGAACTATCCACTTCTGACGTCTAGTCTCCATTTCCTTTTTAACTGGAAGCTGATTTATTGTATCTCACAGTAAACTGTTGCTGATGGTATCCACTCAATGGGTATTGAGTATCTTGAATGAATAAATGTTTAGCAATACTTGTACTATTTAGATGATGGTTGTAGTAGTTCTCCACATGCCAGCTCCATACAGTAGAACTGTGTTGATATTCAGATTGAAGATTCTCACTCTGGTATTGGTTGACAGACAATTGTTTTGAATTGCAGATGTTCTTCAATTATAGATATACTGCTCTCGCTTTGCCGATTCGCACCTTCACATCTGCATCAGATCCACCGTGTTCAATGATGATGCTGCCCAGATATGTAAAGGTTTTAACATCCTCCAAAGCTTCTCCGTCAAGTGTGATTTGATTGATGCATATTGTGTTGTATCGGCGAATCTAACTTTTCCTTTTGTATATGTTGAGACCTACTACTGCTGAGGCTGCTACTACACTGATCATCTTCTCCCACATTTGTTGTTTCGTGTACGATAGATGAGCCAGATCATATGTGAAGTCTAAATTATCCGATTGTATCCTAGCTTCATTATCATCAATATTCTTTTCTTTTCTTTCTTTTTCTTTCTCCATATAATATCTAATAGCTTCAAACAAACGTTTATGAAAGAGTTGCTGATATATCATTACGTCAAGAGGATTTTCAAAATCAACTTACAACAATTGAAGATATGCTCAAAAGTATACAGGTAAGTGATAGATAAATAGATAGACAGATAGGGAGAGATTATTACTGTGTGTAAGTAACGTATAAAAAGTTAGTTAGTAACTTACTTACTCATTTGATTTGTGTGAGGGCTATGATACTACCCAGGTGCCCAAACCGAAACAGATGGTTTTCCTAAGGGACCACACCCCGAGCCTTTAACCTAAAGATCTGATCCACAAGGTAGTGGAGCATAGTGAGGAGATGCAATCCCATGGTAGCCGATGACCAATGATTGATTCATAGACCATTTGTTCCTTGAGGATACTGGAGTTATCCCATGTACACCATTGGTTTGGAATCAGGGTTTTCCAACTTCCCTAGATGGACTCGCCTTGTCCACCAAACCGGTTAAAGCGCCGGACATTCGCTTTTCGTCCTCCCAATTTCGTAAACAACACCCGTAGTGTGAGAAGACAGTGAGTAGAGCTTCCCTGTCAGAGGCTATATATCCGCGTGCCCATATGAGAGCATTTGGAGAGGGAGAGCGGACTCTTCCTACTTTCGGCCGTACCAGGGTAAGTAAGTAACTTACATAAGTTTATATAGTCTAATTGGATATACATTGAAATGAATAAATCAAATGAAAATATCATAGTATATTATGATCTATTAAGTTCTTATCATTTGAACATATTCACATTACCCTATCGTTTATAGGCAAACTAATTTACCAATTTACATATCTATATAGAGACATATATACATAAGAAACCATAAGTGTAACTTGAAAACAAAGATGTTTTGAAGACACACCGGTAAATTATATAAAACCTATCTTCCTCTATTACTTAAACAGACGATCATCACAATTTGATTGGATGAATACTTTTTTGGTAGAGCTTACATTCGTTAGCTGAGTAGTACAATTGAGTATGGACTTAATCACTAGTGTTATACTTTAGATGGAAATGAAGTTTCGAGAGTAAACAAAAACAGTGATAGATGTATCAACCTGTAGCTAATTTCAGTCTTAGTGTCAAGTGTATTCATATGTCGTTTAAGACAGCTACCTGCTGATAATACACTGCTCAGAAGTCCAATACTAGGACGGATCAGCTACTCAATGCATCCTCGTTTTCAACAATTATTTAACTAAAATCAGTCAGTAATACTAACCATATAACAAGATAATTTTGAGACGGTGGAGAAGATTTGTAGCTCGGTTGAACGATTTTGATCGAGTTTTGTTCTATGAGCTGAATAGTTTGTTCGTGGAGCTCTTGTTGTTCTTCTGAACGACATCATCAGCACCCGAAATTTAGAACGAATTTTGAATGCTCTCCAATCAATGTCTAACCTCTCTAAAAACCATCTTAAAATGATACGAATAGTCATAAATCACTATAAAGAAAATAACTAGCAAATTTCTTCTGTTGTCTTCCTGATAATGAGTTCTTCTAATCTAGCTGTTACCTGAATCAACGTCCAATTAGTGACTAGATCTGTACGACAAAAAACACACAATCACTTTTTTTCGAACTTTATTTTTGGACTACTTATGAGTAGAAAAAAGTGTACCGTTAAAATATCGTCGAATTTGGATGGAAGTTCATTCAACCACTGGTATAATTAGATTTATCGGTTAGTTCATGTTTTTTTCAAGTAAAAAAAATGACCAGCTTACTGTTTTCACGAAAGCAACTTACAGAATAGACTTAATTCAATCAATTATATTACTAGTTATCATTAAAACCCTGGGATTATAGCTCTTTAATCTACATTTCCATGTACTGTATAATTTCAATTGTCAGTCTTTGTAATTGATAGTACCAAATATCCTTCACGAACGTTATAACAGATTACTATTATCACTATCTAATATCATTGGAAAGCAAACAGTCTTAGATTGGTTACCTTGTTAAAGGTTTAAACTCCAGGAAAGTGTAAACACCAATATCAAAACTTTTAGTAATCTGAATACTTTTACACTATTAGTTCAGTATTTAAAGTTTGTATTGCTTTAGTAAGTGTTGATAGAACACTGTCACAAAAATTTCAATGTCAATGAATTAACTGCCTCATAAATACTGGTTCTCAATGGTTTTCTAGTTAGCAACAGTTCTTTATAAACGTTTATTTATAGGAATTATTACTTTAAATATCTAATGTAAGAATAATCATTAGTACGGTGTTGTGAAGATTGTTAAATGTTTGATTAAGATCATGAATTCATTGATGTTAGACCACCGTGGAAAATCTGAAAGCACTGGACATTCATTTTGTCATAGTATGGAACTCCTCAATAGACAATACGAACCCACTATCACGAACATAGGATTCGAACCCAGAACATTTGATCTCTTGCACGAATGATTGACCTCTAGATCATTGAGCCAGTATCTATCGGTGTTATTATTTAACTTCCATCGATCCATTCATCTATTATCTGAAGTAGATACCTGTGACTTTATCTAACACAGATTGAACTCCAATGGTCACAGTTTCTCACTAACATTCGAGGAAATCATTTGGGAGCCGGTCACTAGTGAGTTTTCAAGTTTCCAATTTTTGATCTAACATCAATCAATTCATGATCTCAATTTTAAAATCAATAATAATCTCTTAATTATATATTTCACGAATTCAATTCGTATTCATTTTTAATACAAAACATTCATTACTATCTATTTAGAAAGCATTAATACAACGGAATATGATCAATTCTGGTACGGTAGATAACAGATGAATTCAAACTCAAATGAATTGTATATTATATTATTTATCTTTCAATGTAATTTTATAAAACAAATTCGATACAAACTCTGTTCATAAATGTATATTACCTTGCTTACTTACTTACCTACCTACCTACTCAGCTACTTACTTAACTACCCACTTACTTACCTATCTACCTACTTACCTATCTATTTACTTACCCATCTACCTACTTACCTACTTATCTACCTACCTACCTACCTATTTACTTAATCACTTCCTTCCTTCCTTTCTTACCAACCTACTTACTCACTTACCTACTTACCTACTTACTTACTTATTTACGTACTTACCTACTTACTTAGTCACTTACTTCCTTACTTACTTACTTGCCTACTTACTTACTTACTTACATACCCACATACCTACTATTACCCACCTACCTACCTGACTACTGACTTACCTACCTACCTACTTACTTATTTACATACCTACCTACCTACCTACTTACTTACTTACTTACTCACCTACTTACTTACCTATTTACCGATTTACTTACTTACCTTCTTACTTGTAAATGTATCTATATACATATAAATTTTCACAATGTTTCGAATTGTATTTAGCCGTATAACTTAGTTATATATAAATGAATGAATGATTTCTTTATTTTATTTTTTTGTGATATAAATATACAAGTATATATATGATACATTTATGGTTCTTTGATGAACGAGGAAGGAAGGAAGGATGGATGGAAGGAAAGAAGGAAACTTGCTGGTTTTTTGGATGGAGTTTTGTACTCTGAGTTCAGCGGTTTGATCGTGGAGCTTTCATCGTCCTTATAAACAACATCATCAGCATAAACTTAAGAAACTTTAATAGTGTTCTATGACTAACGGTGAAGTCTAGTATTGTCTTAGATAATTAAGTTCTGTAGGAATTACTCAATTCAAAGTAGGATTAACTGTGAAAGATAAAATGTCAGCTGAATGGTTCGCCCTGAAATGGTACTTTTCAAAAATAGATGAATGTAGATAGAACCTTTAAATCGATAAATTTGAACCCTGTCAACAATAAAATCAATATCATAAATGCTATTCGATCATCATCATCATCAAGTGATATTCAGAATTCATCAATGATAAGAAATATGAAGAATTAGTTAATGCCTTACCGTTTGAAAAGCATCATGTTAGCAACAAGACAGGAAGATTTTTGTAGCGATCGTTTGTGTAAGCAAAGCTGGATAGTGGCTAGCAGTGGAATACAGGGCGCACGTTTTGTCCTATTCGGGACTCGTCAGCTGGATGTACCTGTATCTCAGAGTTGATGTTCACTCCACAACTCGAACCCAGTATCTTTCGCTTCAAACTCCATCGCGTTATCCACTCGGCCATTGAGTCCTGATAGCCACTTGCTTGTGCAATGGGTGAAGTTTAAATTCACTTAGTATTGTTTGTTTGAATCTTCCCATTGATGTTTAGGTATGCAACTGGTCAGTTTCTTATTGGCATATGTATATACTGTGCGTATAGCTTCGATATAGCCTTAATTTACAAGCATTGTAAGCAATGATGGATAGTGGCTAGCAGTGGAATCCAGAACGTGCTTTTCGTCACTTTTGTGATTTTTAGTTCACATTGGTGAATGATCCTGAAGCGATTTGATTTCTAATACTTTAATAATCAATGTCAGTCAGTGATATATTCTAACTTCTTATGTTCATGTTATCATTTCCAAACTACCCAGTAGAAATAACCTCACTATATGAAAGAACACACATTAATCTACACTGTTCTTTGATGTCTGTGTTACGAGTTATCGGACATTTACTTACCTACTTACGCCTGTTACCCTTAGTGGAGGTGCATAGGCCTCCCACCAGAATTCTTCATTCAACCCTGTCCTTAAAAATCATTTCCAGTTCTTTCCATTTAACATTCATCTCTTTTCTTATCTGCTTCTATTTCCCGGAGTAATGTGTTATTTGGCCTTCCTCATTCCCGCTTCACTTCAGGATTTCATGTTAGGGCTTGCCTCGTGATGCGCTTTAGTGATTTCCGCCTGTAACTCTTCTAGAATTACTGCTGGTCCCAAACCTGGGTAAAGGAGGAGGATTGGTCATGGGGTTAGCAACCGCATCCCGTGGAAATCTAACTCGCTAAAATAACACTAACCAGAAAAAATAATTCAAACCATATATTAAGGGAATCAAACATTCAATAATATAGATATGTAAATTTCATCAGGAAGATAGTTCATTGACGACACTGTGATTATCAATTCAAACATAATCACTTGACAATCATAATCAACTGAAGGTTACAGTGATAGAAACACCGATCTAGTTGTAACCACGACAAATCACTGACTATCTGGCATATTTTCAAGGACTTGTTGTTGTCAATCAAATAGAAAATATCAGAACAGTATCAGATGGATTCATAGAACAAAACAATAGTGGGAAAATTCGGAGTAGAATAGGGTTTCCTGTTGACCACCTCCAACCACCATCTTATCTCAACATAGTGTACTCAGTGTCCAACCACATAGACTAATGGCCACATCGCAATTTGATCGATAGCATTTGATCAGCACTAAGAAGAACTTGACAAGCATGACATTGATCACCACCCAGTGATCAATCAATTGAGAGTAGGCATGTTTTATGAAAGGATGCTGGCAAATCATTTCAGAAATAATGTATACACATTAGCACAATAAGTTATTAACAGGGATTTAAGAGTTTTACGAAACAAAGATGTGCTACTTATAATTCGTCAGTAGCATATTACAAATCACTCATTTATTATCATATTTCACAATTCCCCATCTTTCGTATAAAAATAACCGGAATAGAGAAAGGTGATAATATTATGAAAAGATTATATGAACAACACTTCTATAGAACGCTTCATAGATGCGCACTGTTGAGGAGTTCTATTCCGGGACGAAACAACCATCCAATGCTTCTAGATTTTCAATGATGGTCTAACGTTGATCCATTCAGTATATTAATTTAAACACTTATATAATTTAAATATGAGGCTTAACTTCAAAATACGGGAACAGAAATTCAAATCCATTGATTCACCCTACTTAGTTTTTCAGATGACGTAAATCCAACAAACACTGGATAATTGTCTTTTCTTGATATTCGACTACTTAGCAGTGTGAATCTGTAGCACTATCGGAGATTAAACCAATGATCTTTAATTCCTATGGAGAGCCGTCCTTCAATGGTATACATGTTTAACCTTACTTAACCCACTCTAATTCTCAATCATTTTTCAATAACATTGATGGTAATTAACACACTGCTGAAATTGTTGAACTATATTAGACAGTAATTCTTATTTGTAGTTCAGGAATAACATTCCATACTTGGTCACTAATGAATATGACTATTACTGTTACTGTAGATGGTGCATGTGTATTATTCAAGCGTCTCATACAGGGACAAATAAGCTGTTTAGTACTTTCTAGTTCCCAGTGTATATACAATCAAGATTAAATCATAATTTGATCACTGAACATATTTGTGTCATCAATCAACGTTACTATAATATCTATTTCTTAACTGTTCATCTGATATTGTTTATCCATATAGAACGTTATGAGTATGGTGGTTGAATTACCTACTATCGTTGTCTATCTGTTATACTTAGTCGATTATCCTGTAAACAATACCTCACATCTATGAATTAGGAAAGGATAAGAACTATTGATTTGTGAAATAAGGAAAGCCATATAATTCGAACGCAGGACCTATCAGTCTCGTGTGCAAGCGCTTAATCACTAGATGAAGCGGGATCATGCATGCTCACTGTTGAGAAGTTTCACAATAGGACGAAATGACCGTCCAGTGCTTCCAGGTTTTCCCTGACGGTCTAGCTTTAATTGATTTATGATTCAAGTATAAAATTACTGAAATCTTCACAAAAACCCTTCTGATAATAATAATCATATGCTCACTGATGACTGACTGGAAGAGATATTTCCTGGAGTTCTAGTGAAAAGCAGTAACTAGTGAAGTTCAACCAGGTGTGTTGTGAGATATCATCTCACTGAAGACAATGGTGAAAGGTTGCTCAACTTTGTGGATTGGTTGAAGGTAGACATTAACACCGTTAGTTGCCGAGTAGCTCGACGCTAGATTCATAGGTCCTGAATTCGGATCTCACAAGATCGGGGATGTGCACTGCTGAGGGGTTTTATAATTATTACCTTTTCAGGTTCTAGTTAAAATGACAGCTTAGATATGTTTTGTCTGAACTCAATGATCAGATTAAAAACTCACAAATCATCATCACTTTTGGTATATATATATAGGTTTTTGATCTATTTTGCATATGAGTAAGATTATATAACCTTCTACATCATTTCAAAAGGTACTGTAGTGTCAGTTGCTAGGTTAATCCCGTATAATTTAGTCGAGCTTCCAGACACGTCAGTCTGTTTATTCTTCTGGAGTCACATTTTGACCTCATCAATTAATCGCTTATCAACCTTGACGGTTTTTATATGAGCGTACGTGTGTGTACACTTCTTATCCTATTCAACACATATCTGTGACTAATTTTTATTTGGCTATAAAGATTGGTTAACGCTTGATTAAATGGGGTTGGCTCATACCCCTTTTTCTCTACTGTGTGTTATTTCGTTTCACTTTCTCCGTTTAGTCCCTCTGATTGTCCGTCCACTAAAGCGAATTAAGTCAATAGTTTAATACAAGGATATGTATATTTCAATAACAAGCAATCAGAAATGATTAAACTGGAGTCAGATACAAGGCTACCAAAGTAGTACTTGAGGGGCTACAGGTTCAGTGTTGATCAAGTGTTCAAGAATAGAACTATAGAGCGTTTTACATTCTGTGTAGAGCTTGGCATTATACACATATAACTGTGAGTGGAACGATTCGGTAAACTTTTAAACCTCAAGAGGATCTCGATGTCAATTGATGAAATTTCTTTGAATCTTATAGCAGAAGGATTGATAAGTTACAGAATGAAAATTACCATAGAATGACTCAAAACCCATCCAACGCCATTGGACATTAATATTGATATATTATCTGTGAATTTCCCTAATTCTAAGATTCTAAGTGATCCATAAAGTATTGTTGTTATATCTAAAGCTTTAGATTCTTGCTATGCCACTTACTACTAGACTACTTGAACGATCTGAACCCGCAACATGGCAAGGGAGAAGACAGAAGTCTAGTAAGTAGGAATATTATTCTCAACACAGTGTCCCAATATAGTACGAAAATCTCATATATATATAGTTTTTGGCTGGAAGTAAATCATCATTTCGGACAGCCAATAGGCAGATAGGGGGTCCTTCTTATTCATCCAATAGGAAAGCTACACTTCGACATTCTAGAATGTTCCTCTGACGATGATTGGATAGAATATATTCGGTTCCTTCTGAGCTTCTTAAACCTTTCTCACGTTCACCTGTGGACTGTCCTCACAAAAACCATAAATCTAATTCTTAACATTAACCGTCAATTGAAACTTTATTCGTTCAATCCAGATCAAGACTAAGACAAATTATGATAATTGTCCTGAACTAGATAATAAAAGCACCACTAACACTAACTGCAACATTTGCAGGTTTAACGGAATCTTCAGTTGTTCAAGGGTATGAGTATTGCAGAAATATATGCGCAATGAAAATGACAAGCTTACACAAGTTATTT